GGGATGCCCTGCATGGAGGGATACCTCAAGGTTTCTCTTGGGAACCCCTTTGTTCATGCTGCCTCTGACACTTGCATGAATCAGAGCACTGTTACCAGTTTCACCGTCTCTGGACTTTCCCAAGCTTTTGAAGCAAAAAGTTTGGCATGCCACAGGCTGCAGGGATTCGCTGGGTGCTGTTTGCCAGCAGCTTAGCCCAGCAGAGGTGATTCCAAAAGCTCCTAATTTTGGTAGGAGGGTGGGAAATCTCCCAGCACTTCAGGATCCAAGAAGAACGGTTTGGGAGTGAGAGCTGCAGGCTGACACACAGGATGCTGTATTCCTGATCTGCTGGAGAATACACACATATCCTTGAACAAATCACTTAATCTCTCTATGCTTTAGTTTCCTGTTAGCAAATGATACTCCTTATCTTTCACCTCTCATCCCAGGAGAGGGAAAACTTTGCCTTCTAGTATGTATCTTATTACCGTTCTTTGTCTGATGGCTGGGGCCCCTTTACCTTGATAAAATAAATAATTTAATTTAAATTAAATAGTCTAATGTAATCCTGCCCAGTGGTTACTAAACCACTTGAATGAAAGTTCATTCTGAGTCTCTTTCCATTTCCTCATAAGGCCAAGGCATGAAGTAATTAGATGTAGACATAGGTTGTTATTGTAGAAAAATGACAAATCAGTGGTTATTGGTAGGAATGGCTTTTATAATCTAGTCTAATGGTCATTTACCTTTCAGTGACCTTGGTGTCAGGCAAAATTGGCAGCTCTTTTGCAAGGAATGTGCTTCCTCAATGGGGGCTTTGCAAGCTGCTGCATTTTTTGGCGCAAGCTCCACATGAACTAGGATTGACACTGTGGCAATGCAAGAGGATTTCTGTCTGCAAAGAAAGGCCACAGACTCCTGCCAAAAGAAGCCTTTCTTAGTGCTGTCCTACTGCCATTGAAACAGATCAGTCACGTTTCAAGTAATGCTTTGCTGATTGCTGTAACCAGACTTGCAGCCTTCGAGCAGAGAGAGTCCACTCTGGTCAGAGGGCAGCCCAGGAGTGTCTGTAAAAAGGATTACATTGTCTTGAAGTAAAAGGAGTGAAAACATCTCTCATCTTCCAGTGTAAGAGGAGCTGATAGATCTTTTTGCAACCCCCTGTAAATCCTAATTACCTCAGCAGAGATGTGGCATTTCTATACACTCAAAAGTTCACCTCTCAGTGATGATCACCCACTCATTGCAGATACAAATCAGCCAAATTTTCTATTGCTATGATGATCCTACACCACTTCCCATCAACTGGTGCAAAATCCCTATGATTTTATCCAGTGACTGGTACCTGTGGCCATGGAGAAGTGCAGCATGATCTGAGCAGTGCAGCACTGTATAAGGGTACCCCATATGTGTGGCCATGCTTTGTAATGAGATGCAGTGGTTGTATCCTGGGGCTTGGGAGGAGAGGATTCAGTAGAGGTATTCACAGTCACCTTGACAAATTATCTAAATTCTTCTGGGCCAATCTCAGCCTTAGAGGTAATCTCTCATTTTTCATGAAAAAGTCTGCATTTTTGGAATTCATATAGAATCACAGAATGGTTAAGTTTGGAAGGAACCTTAGAGATTATCAGGATCCAACCTCCCTGCTATGAGCAGGGACATCTCCCACTAGACCAGGCTGCACAAGCCTCATCCAGCCTGGCTTTGAACACCTCCAGGGATGGGGCATCTGCAATTTCCCTGGGCAACCTGTTCCAGTTCCTTCCTGCCCTCATGGTGAAGTGCTGTGGAAGTATTTGTTTGAGATAGCGCCAGAAAGATTACTTGAGTCACATTGTAATTGGAGGTTCACCAAGAAGTGCTACAAGAGTTGAGAGGAGTAATGTAGCTGTGGAATAAGGTTTTTTCAAAAGCATCTCTGAGAATTGTGCTGCCCTGTGACCCAAGGTTCTGTCTACTCCTGATCTGTCCTCCTGCTGTTCACAACCATTTAATTTTGCAAACAAGTTCCTTGCACCTGTAACTATTGCCCTGCAGAGCAAGCCTAGGAATCATCTCTTTACATGCTCTCTTTTCTAAACTGCTAAGATAAGGAGAGCAAAACAAAGCAGCTTGGAGGGGGAGCCATTTGTGTCTGGCTGCTTTGGATAACCACCAACCTTGTTTTTCCATGAGCATGTTCACAACATCATCACCACAGCATGATAGGTCTTTAGCTGAGATCAAGCAGCAGTTTCCAGCGTTAAAAATCCTGAGATGGTTTGAAATACATGGGTTCTCAACTGATTTTACTCCTATTCACCTGCTGGGACCTGCTGTGATTCTTGCTTGCACAGAGGATCTCACAGACCCCCATCATAATCATCCTTAACTTCTCACATTTATCACTCTGATAAGTATTAGCTTGTTTTCTGTCTGGTATGAGAGAATAAATGGTCACATTCATTTCAGTGGCAGTTTATTATTGCAGGTATTGGATTTGGATTGGGAATGTCCAGCTGAGATCAAAGAGATGCTTCATAGGAGCAGAGAGTTTATTTGCTGCTCCTTGCTGAAGAAGAACAAAATGAATCTTTCTGAAGACCCTGAAGTCAGAACCCACTGAAGCCTGAAAGAGTCTTTCCACTGACCTCTCTGTCCCAAATGTGTTCTAAATGAGTTGCTTTGAGTCACTAGAAGCCTGAATTCAGCTTTGGTGGGCTGGAAAATGTAACCTACTGTATGGGCTGTGCTTTTCATGAGATCTTGACCCTGTGTATGTGCTTGCTGTGGATGCCTAGGAGAAGAATAAAGTCATTTCCTGCAGTTGTGGGGGTGGAGGGGAGGGAATGAGAATTATACCACATACAAATGTGGTATCATGACTTTCACATAGGCAGCTGTTGGGAGCTGACCTGCTTCTGAAGCTTCAAATTAAGTATTCTTTGAGCTGTGTTTCTTCTGATACCATCCCCAACACATAATTGTCCTGTCCACCAGGATGAACTAAGAGGAACATATATTTAGGCCTGACCAGAAGGAACTGACCTCAATTTACATCTTCTGCAGTGAGCAGCTGAAGCAGGGGAGTGAGTACAGCAAGGCTGTGATTTACACTGGTGGAGTTTCCTTAAACTTAGAAGAAGCAGGGTCCTTGAAGCTGGAGAGACACTGGTTATGAGTGTGTTTGACAACAAATGCTCACAGTTCAGGGTTTAATATCAGTGACATCTAATGTTATTGTCACCAAATACTACCTGTTTCCTCACAGTTAATGAAAAATGCTGTTGCTTCTGGAAGTGATTCTTGCATTCTCTGGATGGTTGTGGTTTATAGCTGGGCAAAACTTCAGCTGGGCAGAAACACTCAAGTTGGCACAGCATGGTAAAGGTGTTTACCATTCCCTACTGGTCCTAAATCAGACCAGAAGGTAATTAATTGGGTGTAGAAGGTATAAAATGAAGTGTTAAGAACTACCAGTTGGTAGTCTCCTCTGGAGTCATTATTGATTGATCTGGAGCCATTAGACTGTTTTACAATGAAGCTAGTGAAGATTAAAACAGCTTGAGACAGTGAAAATTAATACAGCTAGAGAGCAGCAGCATGTTTTTCAGTTAATGGCTGGCATCATAAACCTTTGCAGTGTAATTTATGCTTTATTTATCATTATTCTAACACATCAACCTGAGGAAGGGTTGCCTGTTGGCAAAAGATGGGGGAGTAAGGTGATGGCTGCCTCCTGATCATAGAAAAATATTCTTTGTGACCTTGGAAGTGGCAGCAATAGATGTGCTTCAGGTGTGTTGCCCTATGAAGCTAAAATATCAATACTTTTCTAGTTCATCCCTGTGTGCTGTGACTCAGAGGGGTACCACGGGAACACACAGCATGGAAATGCTGTCAGTAAAGGGAAGGGAGCACTGGCCCAGTTGGGTTATCCCTATGTCACATTCCTTGGTGCTGTGCTGGGGACTCAGCCTGGTTTGCAGCCTGGGGGTGGCAAAGCCAGGCTTTGCTGCCCATCTACCCACAGCTGTGCAGCGTCGGGGGGTGATGCAGGGGGTAGTGGGGGAGCCTCCAAAGGGGAGGAACTGCCCCAGGTGCTTTTCTGTGCTTTTCCTGCACACTGTCATTCTCATGTGATGCTTCCTCTCTCCACCTAATACTCTGTCATTTCCTCCCTGGAATGGGCTCCTGCCTCTGCTGCTGATTAGCTCATGGTAAACTTTGCTGAGAACAAAAGCAAGCAATGAAATGCCTGTTGCTTCAGTGTGAGCCTTGTCAGAGAAGTGATTTGTTGGTGGCAGAGCTGAGTAGCACCTCCTCAGATGGAAAACAAATCTACTAGCCTGGCTGAGCTGAGTTGCTTGTTGCAGGTGTGCAAGGATGTCTTTGGTACAACAGGTCTTCCTGAGGGTCTCTGAGATGGTGCTCAGTCTTGGGTCTTCAATTCCACATGCTACAATGTTCTCTGGTCACTACTCAAGCAAGCAAGATGGCTTGAGAAATTGTTGGATCATGAATTATGTATCTGAGGGTTCTTTTGTCTTTTTTTTGGAGGGACACACATAAACATTTTCAAATCATTACAGATAGAGAATTAAGGAGTCTTGGAAAGAGGAACCAGAAAGCAGAGTCTTTGGTAGATCCAAGTTCAGATAAGGTTTGAATGATGTTTGCTGGGACTCAAGATTCACGTGTCAAGATCTTTCTAGTTGCTTCTGTGTAATCTCAGCCCAAATGCTCAAAATCCCTCCAGGCTTTTTCCCCCTTGAGCAAATAGTCTGTAACAAGAGCAGATATTTACATGGAATTTTACTGGTGTGTGAACAGACTAAGGGAAGTTGGAGCCTTTTTGGTTTGGGGATCCACTTTTTTTTCAAAGCCAGCGGGAGGGTTTAAGTTGGAAAACTAAATATGAGTTATTACTGGGCAGAAAAATGGAGAGGATCTTGGGAAATTCAGAATTAATGTGTGTCCTCTTCTGAAATGCAGCCCTACTGCTTTGTCAACAGTTGTCTCTGTTGCTGTTGTAGCTCTCGAGCAGCTGCTCACAGAACTTGAAGATTTTCTGAGGATACTGGACAAGGAGAACTTGAGCAGCACTGCTGTTGTGAAGAAGAGCTTCCTCTCTGACCTGCTGCGGGTCTACACCAAGTCCAGCGGTACGGGCAAGGAAAGCTGAGAATGGGGTGGTGGGGACTTGTGGGAACTGCTACAGGGTATTGAAGTGACATTTTCCTGGAGGCTGGTGGGAAGGGGAGACATGAAAATTAGGAGAAAACAGAACGAAGATTTTTTTTTTTTGCAGTGACCTCTAATTGTTTATGTAAAATTACTATAGTTATGTGTCCAGCTTTACAAGCAAAGGATTCCCAAGATTCCTGATACTTTCTGTTTTCCTTATTAAACCTTAAGTTTATTTAATCCACTTTGTAAGATACACAGGATGTACTGTTTGGCCAAGTTAATGTTTAAGTAGAAATTTTAACTTATGGAATTTCCTGACTATAAAAGCATGTAATTTTCCTGCTTTTCATTGTTGCTCGGGGTTTTTTCTGCTCCTTGCCCCAACCAATGGTCTCTCCCTAAAACGTGCTCAGCAAAGACTCTTTTTTACATCTGTCTTTGTGGAAAAACTTAGCATTGTGAAAGCAGAGAGTGGGTAAAATGTTCACTTCTCCCTTTGGTTGCAGGTGGCGATGAGGAATATATTTATATGAACAAAGTCACCATCCATAAGCAGCAGGGCGACCAGGAAAAACAAGACACAGGTAGGGAGCTGGAGATGAATGGCTGCCTCGTATCTTACAGGGCAATGAAGGCACGTGTGGTTAGATTCTTGCTTTACTGCGACCTGTGGTGACCCCTCTGGCAGCTCTGAGGGCCGAGGCAGTTGATGGTGTGGAAGGACTGCCATTTTCATTACATTCCATTGGAAATCATGGTCCTTGCCAACACCGTGAGGTTATTCCTGGAAGCAGCACTTTGGAGGGCGTTATTTTGGGATAAAGATGTTGTCTTCTAAGGCCTGCAGCTCCGCTGCCTGAAATATTTAAGGCAGTCTTCGAGATTCCTTTAGCCACAAAACATGTCAGTTCACCCCTCTGAGACCTTGAAAGCATTTGTCTCCTTTATTGAGTTGCTTTGCACTAGCCCAGAAGGTCTGTGTTGTCCTGACCTTGTGAGGTGAGTTCCCAGGTGGAGCCTTCACCCTGGCCATCTGCCTGGGCAGAGCACCTTCCTCTCCCAGGGTATGCAAATGTTCCGTGGTGTACAAGCCAAGAAATTAAACCTAGATAAAATATTTCCAATTTAATTTTTCCAGGTTTTTAATCTGTAACATGGGAGAAAACATAATTCTCTAAAAATGTCCTTGCTCTTTGAAGTTCATCACAAAGACCATTTTGATAGGTGCACAGAGTGAGATTCCTACTGACACACGTCTCCTTAATGCACATGTGGGCAGAGGATGACCCTTCCCCACAGTTTCTGATCCAAATAGATGAGACAAGAGGACTCAGCAGTGCAGCCTGCGGTGGATGTGCTAGTCCTGCAATAGCTGGAGTAGCTCCAGAGTTGTTTATTTTGGTTTCATTGTTTTGTGGTGGGTTTGTTTGTTCTATTTGTTTTGGTTTGCTTTTTAAAATACCTGCAGCTGAATTTAGGGTAACTTCAAATACCCCTGGAGACAGGATGTCCTCCCAGATGACACGTGCAGCCTCTGTATGATCTCCAGACAGGGCCCTCGGGGTGATGCTGTAATGCTCCATAACAGGATTGCTCAGCCTCCCAGTAGCTGCCAGTGGCTGAGAAGTGACAGAAATACCTCTTTAGAGAAGTTCTCATTTGGGTGGATGAAAGAAGACTTGCACTGATCCACCATGCAGAAACACAGGGGCAAATTTCAGACAATTTCTATTTTAGAGTTGGTTCTTTTTATTTCAGACTTTTCCCTGTCCAGGCCATGGGCCTGCCCACTCAGTTGCTCCCTGTGGGACTTGGTGCTTTTTGCTTTCTCAGTTTTCAGCAACCTCCCTATTCCAAGTAAAACTTCTGAGTTATTTGGAAATGCTGAAGTCAGTGAAACACATGTATGGGATCTTAGCCATAGCTGCAGCTGGGTGAACAGCCCTGATCCTGCCTCTGTAACTGCATGGAGAGATCTGTTTCTGCCTGGTCAGAAGGGAGACCTGCAGGATCAGATATAGCAGAGGGAGGGGCCCTAGTACCTGCTGGGGCTGGGGGCTGTGATAGGGATCCTCCAGGGATGATGCAGCTGCCTTTACCCCTTTTGTCCACTGCTGCTCAATGCACTTTGTTTCACAGCAATCCGCTGGTGGGATGTGGTGGCCACACTTTTGTGGCTCAGGTCAATCGGTCCTCTCACACCCTGTGGGGTTTCTTCCTCACTGTAGCTGTGCTGGAGAATGCTCCAGCAGTGCAGGGTGAAATGCTTTCCAAAGGGATAATACATCAGCTCTAAAAATCTCCCTCCAAACCTTAAAACATGCTATTTCTACAAAAAACATATTTCACTCCCTATTTCAGTTCCACCAGGAGGGATTTAAGCTGGGCAGTGTGCTGCTTTTGGGCTGCCTTTTTATGGCACAGGAGTTGAATTCACTGCAGTGAGGGATGAAGGCACCATCATTTACTTGAGAATCACAAGTCTCTACCCTACAAGTCCATGGGACTCTTCAGTGAGCCAAATACCATCTCCTCTTGGAAGTCAGCACTTCCAGAAAGGGCAGGGGTCTGGGATGTGGGACCAATGGACAGTGTAGGTCTCTGGGTGGTGCACACTGCTGTCTTCCTAGCCCAAAGACCAGGAGCAATTCACTTTTACAGAGAACAGAGAGCACAGATAAATAATGGTTAGTATAGATGTGAATTTTAACAGGCTTTTGGCTCTTTTTTATTCTTCCTCCCTTCTCGTAAATTCTCTCCAAATTCTAGATTCTAGAGAGACTTCTTTGTCAGAAGACACCTATAAAGTGTTAATGCTTATCTAGGAAAAAAAGACTCCTTCCCTCCCACCCCAATAAGGAAGCAGTCTATGATTTGTGGTGCTGATGTGTATAGTGGGAGAAGGGAGGGACATGTACAGTACATACTGTGTGGACTCTTCATATAGAAAGTGTGCACTAGGTGCTGGGCCCCACATGCTGAGCACAGCACTAGGTGCCCTCTGAAACCCCAGAACAGAAAACCCATAACATCTCCCAGGGATCTTGTCAGATTAAGGTTAAAGGGGCAGTTATTCCTGCGCAGAGACTGAAAATCAAAGCTTGATCACATCCTAGTCTGCTCCTCAGCTGGAGAACATGTCTATGGAGGTGGGCAGCTTTCCACCAGGGTGAGGACTGAAGCTGTGGTCTCAGTCCCATGCTCCAAGGTTGGTGGGAGGAGGAGCTGCTGGTACAGAAACCAAACAGCATTTTCCTGGCATGGTGAGGTTCAGTGGGATGATTGCTAGGTTTGCCGGAGAGTCAGGAACAGATGGCCACCACTTGCAAAGGGTTTGGTAGTGATTTTTACTGCTGCAATTTCTCTTCTGTGGAACTGAGCATGGGAGGTTCTGCCTGGCACAGGAGGATGTGAGTTGGCCTGTCCATTTCTCTCTGCTAAAGGGGCCTCTTAAAAGTTCCCCGTGTGGACAGCTGTGAGTGTGGAGATAATCCTCTCTTGGGTAGGAGCCCACTGGGGCTTTAGGAAATCTCAAACTTACTTCTGGTATTTCCAAAAGCAGAAATGGCCTCAGCAGCTGCTGTTGATGGAAAGTATCTGCCCTGAGAGCACTGTCACTTGGGTCTTTTACAGAAAAGACCAATCTGTAACAGCAGCCAGTAGATATGGCTCTGGTAGCATAATCTTGGGGTATTTTGGTAGATGGTTCTCCCCCTGATCAATCTGTGTCATAGCCTCACCTGCTTTACTCTGAACATTACAAGACATCCAGCAGCCCTACTTGTGAGGTGCAAACAGCTGCTTGGAGTCAGTGTCTGTTGATCCATAGATCTTGTGTGTCCTTAATGAAGTTATCCAGCAGCAATGACCAGGAGACCCATGTCGCATGGAGCAGTTTGCCACAAGAGATGTGTTTTGAGCTCTTGCACCATCAGACCAGGAGCTGGCTGCAGCCTGGCAGGGCAGAGCTGTCATCATGGTTTCCAAGCCTCAGACATGAACAAAGTAATGTGGTTTCCAGCTTCTATTTTTAAAGCCCAGAATTATGCAGCAAAGTTCCTGTCTGTGTCTTTGGAGCGCAGTGCTAACCACTGCTGGGCACTGTGCGCTGCCTTGGTGGCTTCTGTGTGGCTGGAACATCAGCAGGTGGCAAAGGGAGTTAGAGCATCAACTTGCTGCAGATTTTGAACCCAGTTCACTTTTAATTTGCTGGACTTGAAGTATCTGAATACCTTAGCCACGTGTCTCCTGAAGTAATGGCAAGAACACTCTGTCAAAGGGAATGTTGCCTCTGCACAGGATAATGTCTTCAAAGGCCTTAATTTTTCAGCCATTTATTGTCTTTCTCCCACTTGTTCCTAAGCATTGCTGCATTCTGCTGTATTGGAGGTCGTGGGATTTGGGCACAAGTTTGAGGCCACCCAGGAATTCTGTTGTGGAGGAAGAGGGACTGAAGACAAGTTTTCTGAGCCTTTGACATACCCTTCAGCCACTGAATCACTCTGCATTCAGCTGCTTGGAAAATCTGACTTTCCAGAGGCAGATGCAGATTGCCTGGAGCAGTCCTGCTGCCATATGCCCTTTCACATGTTTGGCCTGGGCTGCTTCAAGAGCAACTCTTCCTGAAAAAGCAAGACAAATACTGTTCTTGTCTGGCTTTGACAAGCCATTTGCAGCCCAGCTAGGCAGCAACCTTTGCAGTTTGCTCTGGGAGCAGAGTGGAATTAGCTTCAGTTTTCTGGAAAGGCAGCAAAGGTGAGGTCAGCCACTGATCTGCCTGCTCACAGCAGCAAGGAGTAGAGCTAGCAAAAACTAAAATGCTGTGGATTTCAAAGTCTCAGCAGTGGGTCTGAGCTTCACAGTTTTCCCTCCAGAAGGAAAAACATGCCCAAAAACCAGAGGCCAGTTCTTCTATTGGGTCTCCAAGTGGCACATTCCTGGGTATGGCCTGAAATGACACAGTGGCCCTGCACGTGCTGCCTTTAATTGTTGCTCTGTTTGCTACTGAAATAGCACCTTGTTGTTCTGCACATCCCCAGGTGGTGAGTGCTCTGCTGGGACACACCACACACCATCAGTAGAGTTGTGTTTCTGGCTTGCAGGGCTGGATCGGAGAAGCTCCCTCACCAATGGAGACTCAGGACTGCACTCGTCACCTCCTCAGAAGAGCCTGCCAGAGCTCCCCCCTCCAAAGGTATGTTTGGCAAATCCTTTGCTTTTCAGTGCCTGGGGATCTGAACCCTGGCAGGCTTCACTTCTGTTACCTGCTTCATGGCACAGGGAGACAGGGAGCTCTGCCCAGGTATTTCAGTGAGGCAAGTGGTTCTGGAGAGCTTAATTTAAAAAAAATACAAATCAAATGAAAAATATGTAACTAGGGGCTCCCTCTTGTACAGATTTCTGTTTGGTCTTTACAAAGGCTGCAGGTCAGTGTGCCCAGGCAGGGTGGCCATGCTCTGGAATGGCTAGGCATCCAGAAACCCCTGTGGTTCCCAAAGCTTGTGCACAGGGAGAACAGGCAGCTGTGGGAGCCGTGGGCTTCCTGGGTGTGCACAGGAGCATTCTGCAAAAGAGGTGGTGTTCCTTGCCAGGGAAACACGCCCCCATGCATGGCAGTGCAGGCTCAAAGAATGAAGGGAATTGAGGTTTTCCAAAGAACCAAAGGTGAGCTTGCCTCTCAGCTGTTGCTTTGGAAATCTCCAAGCTGTAAAGCTTGCTGGCATGTACTTTGAAAAGCCAGAAATCCTTCACCTGCCAGGTGGTGGGATGATCCCTGGGCAGTGCCACAATCTCCCTCACTGGCAGAGCCCTGCATGATTTGACCATGAGCAGAGAAAACCAGGTTTGCTTCCAGCTGAAGCACCTGGTGTTGTCTGTGCACTGGGTGAAGGTTCTGGGCATTATGCTGGTTGTACAGCCCACAGGTCTGCAAGGAGGAGTCAACAGCACAGTCAGTGTTTCTCAGGGCAGCTATAAATCTGCTCAGGGTCCAGTTATAAATCCAGCCAGGGTCCAGTTCAACACCACCAGCTGTCAGTGGGATTTTGTCTCCATGCCAGTAAGCCAGCCTGTGTGTCCTCAAGAGACACAGGTCATCCTCAAGACCCCGGATGTTTCTGTTTGGTAGTTGATCCAATGTGGGAATTGCTGTACTTGGATTTCAGGATGTGAGAGGAAAGGAGAGCAGGGAGCGTGGAGGGGGAGGCATGGAGGAGGATGGGGTGATACATCCATTAACCATAGAGGAGGATCTGCTCCTTTCCCAGGAAGGATGACACGAGGGTGAGGCTTAAGGACTTCTGCTGTGTGGCCCAGCTGGAGGAGCTGGGAAAACAAGGGGATGGGATGTGGACAGCAAGCCCTCGGATGCAGCCTGCCGAGAGCTGCTCCAGCCCCAGGGGTGCTTTGCCCACACAACCAGCCTGGGATAGTTGCCTGGGAGCAGCAACCAGAGCAGGAATCACTGTTTGGCTTTGGGTTTCTCAGAGCCAGAGGGGGTGGCGGCCATGGCAGGGAGGCAGGCAGGAGGATAGTGGTGCAGTGGAATGAAGTCATAACCAGGGAAGAATCATAGAATCATAGAACTATTCAGGTTGGAAAAGACCCTTAGGATCACTGAGTCCAACCATCATCCCTACTCTAGAAAGTTCTCCCCCGTGGAGGGGGAGGCATGGAGGAGGATGGGGTGATACATCCATTAACCATAGAGGAGGATCTGCTCCTTTCCCAGGAAGGATGACACGAGGGTGAGGCTTAAGGACTTCTGCTGTGTGGCCCAGCTGGAGGAGCTGGGAAAACAAGGGGATGGGATGTGGACAGCAAGCCCTCGGATGCAGCCTGCCGAGAGCTGCTCCAGCGCCAGGGGTGCTTTGCCCACACAACCAGCCTGGGATAGTTGCCTGGGAGCAGCAACCAGAGCAGGAATCACTGTTTGGCTTTGGGTTTCTCAGAGCCAGAGGGGGTGGCGGCCATGGCAGGGAGGCAGGCAGGAGGATAGTGGTGCAGTGGAATGAAGTCATAACCAGGGAAGAATCATAGAATCATAGAACTATTCAGGTTGGAAAAGACCCTTAGGATCACTGAGTCCAACCATCATCCCTACTCTAGAAAGTTCTCCCCTAAACCATATCCACCAACACCACATCCAAGAAGCAGCTGGGTGTCCCCAGGGCATCTCTGCTTGTGCTTGGTAGAGCCCAGATTTCTGAGTGGGCAATCAGGAGATTAAATAAGGGAATTAGAAAAATAACAGTCTTGGATGGTTTAGGTACCTTTCTCAGCTAATATCCATCTTCTCCCAGGCTTCTGCTGGGACCCACCTTCTCCCACCTGCTTACCTCTGGAGCTAACCTTTGGATAAAGCAGTTAAGTGCCTCCTCACTGTGAGCATCTGAGTGCCAGTGGGTTGTTGGCAACAAAGATATCTGAGCATACTTCAAGGAGCAGGTCTGGGGAGAGCTGTACTGTGGTCCCAGTGTGTGGAAAGGCTGCTGTGGGGGAAATGAATCTTCCCTGTCCATGTGTGCTGCTTCTGGTGCAGACAGGATCCGTGACCACCTGAGAGATGGAGGAGAGAGAGGAACCCCTTACACAGAATGAGGGACGTTTAGAGAGGACCTCAGAATATATCTATTTTAGCTCCATGGAGTTTTCTGTGTTTTGGAGGTGTCAAGGCACCCTGTGGTCTTGCTCTACCCTTGCCTTTAGAGGCACAGGAGAAAACTGATGATGAAGCTCTGCACAGCAGATTGTCCCTGGTATTCACCAGCAGTCAACGGGCAACCCAACAGGGCTAGCCCAGCTGGATCACACTAATGTCTTTGGATTTGTCCCAAAGCAACCTTTAAACAATGAGTCCCGTGGGCTGTGACCTTTCATCACTTTCCACAGCCATCCACTGAGAAAGTCATGTGGTGCAGACAAGGGTGCCCAAGATGGTTTCATTTGCATGCTCCATTGTGCTGTAAGGCAACAGGCAAATGTTCTGTGAGGACCAGGCTGGGTTAGATAACACAGCACATGCTCTTTGACCTGGGCTAGGGACAAAGCACCTCCGTGCCTTCAGGGAAAAGAGAAGAGGAACAAAAAAGGTTCTGCGGCAGCTGAGTTGCAGTCCCACCTAGTCCCTGTTGGCTTCCATTGTCTGTAGGAAACAAAACAGGGCAGCCTCTTTCCCCCCCTCACCTCCTTCCCTGACATTTGTGAGACAGTGTCAAATAAACCCACAGCCTTTCTTTGTGTAGGCAATTTGTTTATGGTCATAGCACAATGTGAGCTGGTTACGCAAAGGAGGTCACCACAGGTGGCAATTGCAGACCCATTCCCTGGCCAGGGAAGGGAGTGAGTAAAGCTTTGGAGTGGCTGAGTTCATTTTTATTTCTTTAATTCAACACATAAAGACAAGTTCCTAAAACCTTAAGTGTTTGGAGGCAAGTGTTTTCCAGCAGTGTGTCCTACATGGCTCTGGAAAGCAAGCACCTGGCAGACCCAGGTAGGAAGGAGTTTTCATCCAGGACACGTAAGATGCTTGCAAGGTTGGCAGAGCCATGTGCAGCTGGCCCATGTGGGAGCAGAGTCACGTGCTTTTGGTCAGTGTGGTCAGGGTACCTAGCTCCCACAGGCTCAGTGGCATCCCCACTTGTGGGCAGTTGCTGACCAGAATGTCTTTTCCTTCAAAGCTTCCTTGTTATTTCTGGGCAGCAGTACCCATTGGTGAAAATATCTAGGGCAGCATGGAGCCACATTTGATGATGCTGGCATGACCTGCAAAGGGACTGATGCTGCCTTAAGGCTGCTCTGCAGTGCTGGTGCCCAGCTGGCCCCTCTTCTCCAGGCAGCCAGGAGCAATCATGTGGGCTGGCACGAAGGACCACGCATGATCCATGACCTGCAACACTGCTGTCTGCAGAGAGAGACCTGCTCTACTGCCTGTCCTCCTGGGAGGAGTGAGGCTTCATCCTTGCACACACTGACCATCCTGCCTAGGATTTGCACATGTCTCAGAAGCCTGCTGAAGCCATGTGAGCCAGAGCATACCATTGTCAGATGACTGGGAGTGGTTTGACCTGGGCGAGGAGAGGGGACGCTACTGTCGGGTCATGATGGGAGATGGGATGCCACTATTTTAGGAAGAGCATAAGCTGTGTGCTTATCCTGCTCTGCTGTCTCATGCTCAGCAGCCATGTGAATTACTTGAAAAGTAAAAAGGTTGCTTCTTAGGTTCCCTTTTTTTTTGTTTTCCCTCATGTGTTGGTATTTCTAAAGGATCAAGGCACTGTTTTTCCTACCAGCCCTTGCTTGTGTTTAGGGAGGGGTTTGGCAGGCACCACAGGGATTTTCCAACACTTGGACTCTTTTCAAAGGCTTTTTTTCCATCAATGTTGTGTATCTATTTCCTTCATTTTTTGCTCAGAGCACAATTAAAGATTCCTGATATAGTTCCTAAAGCAGATTTTTAGCTGTCAGAGACTTGGAGACATGACCAGTGACCTCTCAGGCTGTTCTGTGTAAAGCCAGGATTACACCAAATATCTGTCCTTCTGGTTCCCTATCAAGATAATCAGTAGCACAGGGGATTGTCCCCAGTTACAGTGAGCAGCTTGGGGAGGGTCGGTGTAGCAGGCAGAAGTCCCAGTTCACAGTAAGGCCAATGGGTTGCAATCACTGCTTTTGAGGAAACCTGATTTGATCTTTCCAGAGCTTTCAGCAAGATTAAAGAAAATAATATTTATGATGCAATTACACCATCATTTCAAAGAACTTGAGACATCTGAGCTCAGCAGTGTCTTTCTTCCCTGTCATCTCAACCAGTTTACATTAGTATCCCAGTGTAGACATCTAAAAGATCTCATCCATTAGGACACACTTTAGTGCTAAAACATATGATACCCCATTGTTTTAAAGTATCTGTTTTTAAATTAAATCATGTTTCTTTTATGTATTTATTCTGCAGATTCCTGAAATAAAACAACCTCCAGTCCCCAAGATCGAATCTCCAGAGGGATATTATGAAGAGGCTGAGCCATATGATGTCTCTGTAAATGGTATATCACAGCTAAGTCTCTGGGGGGCTTCACGAGGTTTATGGAAATGAGTAAACAAAAGTGTGGATGTTTCATGTGACAAATTTGTTTTCTGATGCTAGTCACTCTTGTTGTTACAGATCTAATGCTAGTTGGAAAGAAAAGCCTACTGAATTACTCAAATTTTTAGCTTTCCTGTAGAAATAAGTACTATGCCTGGGTTAATATATTGCTGTAAAACCATTGTGAGTTCTCTTTGTGTTGATGGTTTTCTGGCAGATAGGCTGTAGTCAAATGCAGGTTTCTATTGAGCAGTAGTGAAGCTGTGGTGGCTTGCATTCATGTCCTAGTGCCCTGATTGTCCCTTTGGGGCTCAAAATCCCTGACTCTAGGTCTGTTAACTGTGATAACCGCTTTTATAATTGGCTATTTATTCAGCTTTGTCTCTTGTGGCAGTTTAACCATCTGTAAACCTGATTAAAAAGCCACACTTCATGTGAGGGAACAGTGTGCTGGTTCCCTCTGCACACACTGGTTCACTGCTTGGGTGGGAACCTCCCAGCAATGTTGCCAGTAGTGTCACCAATTCGTGTCACCTCTGTCCTCCCCACCTCTTTTGGAGGAGCCTGCTGCTCCCAGATGCTCACTTTTTAAGATGTATTTGTGCATCCTTCTTCCAGTGAACACCCTTCATGAGAGATGACCTCCCCCTGACCTAACAGCAGAGCTGGTCTTGTCATCACTTTGCAATCCATTGCAGCCCAAATGAGAGATTGTATCGCTGTGCTGCAGAGACAGATCTCTGCTCATCAGCCTCAGCTGCAGCAGAGTGGGGCAGAGCTGAGGGTGAGAGTCAAGGCAAGCAGAGAAGTGAGAGTTAAGCATAAAACATTTGGATCTAAACCCTTGGCTGTTGAATCTGAGCTGTTCATGAAGCAAGCTGAGTCCTCCCCAGCCCCAGTGTGCACCATTGAGCTTTCAGGATCCCTGGCAGGGAAGCACCAGCATTGCCACTGCCTGTGGGGGCTGGGGGATGTTGTACCTGCACAGCTCTCATTGTGTGTGTGCACCTTGTGCTCCTGGGCAGCTTGTAGCTCAGTGTGGTTAGCTGTTTTCATGGTGGCTTAGGAGTTAAAGTGCTAAACAAAAAAGGGAGATGTAGAAAGATCTTTGTTTCCCATCCTGTTTTGGCAGCAACTGCATTACCGTGTGCCCAGCTCAGGTGGGAAAAGGTGCAGGCTTATCACAGCTGGGATGAAACTTCTGGTTTGGTGTGAAGAGGAGGTCTCTTCATCTCTGCCATGTGTCATTGGGTGCCAGCTCAGTTTTGCCAAAAAGCTTTGGGTTGTTTGGCTGAGGGCAGGGCTGTGATGTGTGGGTGATCCCTCCTTCAGCTGGGGCAGCCTCATCCCCATAGGGGTTTCCAGCTGCCTGCACTGTGAGACAAATGGGCTTTTATTCCCTGCTGCACATTGGGAAAGAGAATAACACTCTAAGAGCCGTGGCATGTAAAGACATTCACCGGATTAGTTGGCGTACAGCCATGGATCTGTGTGCTGGGAAAATCAGGTTACACTATCCAGGCAGCTCCATAAACTCACATTGCATTGAGAGCCTTGGCTGGCAGGAGCGATAAGCACACACCCAGCTTAAACCTCAGCTTTTCCTTGGTAACCTGCTGCTCATAGATGCAAATGCACCCACCATGGGCTGAAATCTAGGCCAGTTAAGTGCCTGAAGAAGTGAGACATCAGAGCCCTGCAGGCATGGTTGAAAAAAAAGAGAGAAAAAACCCATATGATGGGAGCACTGGCAGATAGAGGCAGGCTGTGGCTGCTGTCAGTAGCTGCTTGACCAGCGGGGTCGGCGTTCTACTGAGCAACATCTCAGCTGTAAGTGGAGGTGGGAGCCCCTGGAGCCAGCAGAGATGGGACATGCAAGTCCAGGCAGTCCTTCCCCACTGAGGCCTTTGTCTCCTGTGACTGCTCAATTGCCTGTCCCCTCTGCAAGCCCCAGCAGGTCCCTTCTGCACAAACAACCTGATATGCTATAATGCCTGTGGTTTTTAAGGTGGATGGTGTGAGAAGGAAAGCAGTGTTGTGTTCCCAAGAATCTCTGTGCTTTCCAGTAATCTCATGTTTGAGGAGATTGCTTGGGGTTAGTGGGAAGAAGGAGCAGGGAGGGGTGTGAAGCAGCAAGTTTATGGCAAGAGGATGGTGTGGGGAACTCAGGAGAGGGTAAAGTGTGGCACACCATGCAGAGGGTGGGTCAGGTAGCGATGCCAGGAAGCTGCTGTTGCCCTGGTTTACCTCAGGAGACTTGGCTTCAAATCCCATGGCACAAGGAGCAAAGCTGCAGGTTTCAGTCATGCCCATTAGTTCAACAAGTACAAAACTGGGATCCCCATCCCTCTTTCCCTTTTTCCAGGTGACAATAGTACCCTGTACCTGTCCTATGAGGAGTGATGGTCATTGCTAGCAACTGCCTTGAGACCTTGGCACAACTGGTGTCACTAAAGGATGTTTTGGACATGCATGGGTTTGCCCTGGACAAAAATGTTAAAGCCTGACCCCACTAACCTCAAAAAACCTCTGTGCTCACCCCTCTCTCCACACAGGCTGGGTAGGGAAGAGGCCAATGGTCCAGGGAGGTGGTGGTGGTGTTTCCAGTAGAACCTTGGAAGAACCTGTGCATCTCCAAACAAATGGGCGTAGTGAAATCAAAAATAGGAACATGACTAAAATTAGTGGGTATGCTGCCAAGAAAGGACATCAAAATGAGCTTCCAGATGGACAGAGGAGATAGAGATTTGTGCAGTGTCAGATGTGGGACTGCAAATCACTGTAACAAACCAGGGGTGAAATAATTAAAATTAAGCGGGTGGGTGAGGGTGCTGGGTTTCAGGGTCCCTTTTTCATCACCAAGATTCCTGCCCCTTTGCTGGGGATGCCTCTGCCTCTCATTTTACAGCTCCAGAAAATAATGCTGCTTCTCTTTCCTCCTGGGCTAAAATGTGTTAAGCTGTTATTGTCCTCATCCTCATCTGTGTTTGCATAATTGAAGGGTGCGATAAGACAGAGTGAAAACGCGAGGGGCAACGTGACTGCCAACCGAGCAATAATTATTCTGGCTGGAATAGCTCATCTGCCTGGGCTGAATTTTAATTATGATGGTGACGATTCTGTTTTAAAAGGGAATTGCCTTGTTGGAGAGGGTGGGTTCAAAATTTTGCCCTTGTTTGAAGTCTGAGGTGCTGTGTGCTCTCCCACCGTCACAGGGACGGAGCAGGGGAGGAGCGCAGGGCTGAGCTGGACTGGTGCCCTTGCTCTCTGCATTTGCTTATCTGTGGCTTTCTCTCTTTGTCTCCCTTTCTCTTTGCTTTTGACTGTGCAGGTCTGTTTGGTAGGCTTGCTGCGGCTGGACCAAGGCCAGGGTTGCAGGTTACTGAGGGCGTTATTTATGCCACAATAACGCTGGGTATGACGTTTTCCAAACTGAAGTGCCTTTTCTTTTTAAAAAAAAAACCACACCAAACCCTCAGTGGTAGCAAAGATGATCACGTGCTCTCCCTGGCATGCATGGGGTGTAACCATCTCTCCCCTCTCTCTGCCCATGTTGGATATATGCAATTTTTTGTGCCTTTCCTGGTGCTCAAGATGACAATGAAGAGAGCTTCCCTAGCATTTATTATGCTGGTTCTGGCCACTAATGTGGAGCTAGTATGTGGTAACACTGGTTGTATTGACATGTTGAAGGTGCTGTGCTTGGGCAGAGGAAGCTCTAGCATATGAGGTGGTTGGAGCTTCCTATGTCATGGTATTGATTTATCTCCCTGGGACATCATGGGTAGACAAACAGCAAAGCAGAGGTGAATCTAGATAAGGACATTCCAGAGCTTGGCTGCCATAGACATCTCCTCAATAAAAGATAAAATTGTGTTCTTAGCTGAAACTGCCAGTAGGTGGAAATGGAGACCTTGTACTGAAGTGTCTGAGCTGTGTGACTTGGGATCAAGTGAGTCCAAGTAGCGATGTCTCAAGTCACCCAAGCAAGGTTTGTCCCAGTTTGCCAGCTACACAGCCTGGAAAATGTCTTTTCCTCATGAGGTCCTAACAGTGTCACCAGGCCAGCAATGGCTGCATCTCTTCAGGTAGAGAAGACCTCATCTCATTAGGTGCTTTTGGTTGCAGCAGTTGATGTACAAAAGAGCAGCCAGGGTGTCTGCTGAGAGCATAGAAGAAATGTGGTATTCACTCTGGAGAAAGATGGCAGCCTGAGGCCTAATGCCTATGTGAGGGGCACCAGAGTCACCCAAAAGGGACAAGAGAGGCAGTTAATGACAGTTAATGATGTTGATAAGGAAGGAGATCTAGAAGACTAAGTTCCCTTAGGCATCCTTGCTGCTGAGTAAGGGAGCGTTCCTAGCAGTGCACAGGTTCAGCTTCTTGGTATTTGTAGGGACAAGGAACCTCATCGTTTTTGTTCCATCTGAATTTCTGGCCTGTAGACAAGGTCTGCATATCAAGAATGCATTGCAGGGCCATGATTTCCCATAAGAGATTGGCTCTCTGGTACATTGAGGGTATGAGGATGGTGAGCCAGTAGTGTCTTGTTAGCACCATTCAGAGATTTTGAAAGGGGGTATTTGCTTTCAAGTAAGTTTAACTGGTGCAGCTTTGATCACTTGAGGGATGTTATAGAATGAGATTTCACCCCAGGAGACTGGGAGTAAGACTGTAGCTTTGTTAATGCATCTCAGTTCCTTTTATTTTAAGAACAAATAAACCCAACCTAAGAAATGTTTTTCAGTGGAGCTCCTAATGCTTCCTCCCCGCCCCCCCCCCCTTTTTATGGCTGCTTTTCCTCTTTTTATTTGGCACCAATCCCATACTGTTACTTTCAAGAATGCATTGCAGGGCCATGATTTCCCATAAGAGATTGGCTCTCTGGTACATTGAGGGTATGAGGATGGTGAGCCAGTAGTGTCTTGTTAGCACCATTCAGAGATTTTGAAAGGGGGTATTTGCTTTCAAGTAAGTTTAACTGGTGCAGCTTTGATCACTTGAGGGATGTTATAGAATGAGATTTCACCCCAGGAGACTGGGAGTAAGACTGTAGCTTTGTTAATGCATCTCAGTTCCTTTTATTTTAAGAACAAATAAACCCAACCTAAGAAATGTTTTTCAGTGGAGCTCCTAATGCTTCCTCCCCGCCCCCCCCCCTTTTTATGGCTGCTTTTCCTCTTTTTATTTGGCACCAATCCCATACTGTTACTTTCATGTGGATATTAAGATTTTTATGAGAATCAAAATCAGAGGAAATTTTGGTGTGACAAATCATCTAGTGAGATGCTGTTTAGTAGGACAAGTATGCACAACCCTACACAAGTGCTGCCCAAATCTTACCAAATTGCTCTGTGAGCTTACCTTGTGAGTAAGAGCCATGCTCTTACATGCTGTAAAGGCCAGCAGAGCATTCCAAATTTCCCTGCAGTCAGTGGGAACTTTTTCATTGTTTCTGATATATCTGGTACCAATGACCAGCTGTTCCTATCAGCTGAAAAGTCCAATAAGCTATGGTAAATCAGAGCTGGGTATTAAAAATCCCAACTCATCTCAATGAAGTAGCAATCCATTGAAGAAATAACATTAAACATGTTACTACTGTTATTTGCAGCTGGCATTTATGACTCATTTTTGCTGCTGGAACAGTGTATTACTTCAAAGCCCCTTGTTGTCCCTTAGATGCTGAGTAGAGAGAGACCTGTTAGCCCGGAGAGGGAAAGTGGAATAACATCTCAAATACAATAGATCATTGCTTGCTGCATGGCCTCACAAATACCATTTTTGCTTCTGACATTCAGAGGACAAGGGCTGATTGTAGCTTTCTGTTGCCTTAAAAATTGTGAGTGTTTGGCTTGAAGTGGAAAGAAGAAAAACCATCTCTGGGGGAGGGAAGGAAAGAGGCAAACATCAGAAAATATGTAAGGGAATGTTCTCAAATTTGTGGTCAATTGAGAAGTGTCTTTTGAGCGTTTGCTAACTGAGACTATTAGGCACAAAACATTGCAAAGAGATTAATATTGAGCTAGAAAGAAAAAAGTATCTCTGAGGGTTATTTTCCTATTGGTTATCCTCCTGTAGCCTCAAAAGACACACCCCAAAGCTGGAGACTTTTGCATGTGTGAGCATGGCTGAGGCAAGCACTGGGCTCAGAGATGTCCTAGAAATGTATGTAATGATAGAGCTTTGTTTTTGTTATAGAAGATGGTGAAGCCATTAGTAGCTCCTATGAATCTTATGATGAAGAAGAAAGCAGCAAAGGCAAGTCAGCAACCCATCAGTGGCCATCCACAGAGGCCACCATTGAGCTGATGAAGGACGCCCGCATCTGTGCATTCCTGTGGAGAAAGAAGTGGCTGGGACAGTGGGCAAAACAGCTGTGTGTTATCAAGGACTCCAGGTTGCTGGTGGGTAGATCCTACACTCTGTGTAAAAGAACCTGTTTTCATGAGCTAGGGAGAGAAGTGGTGCTTCAGGGTTCATTACTAGCTGGCAAAAAAAAAAAAAAAAAAGTACCTCTTGAAGCAATGCTTCAAAAACCATGTTCCAGGGATTTGGGGATCTCATTCCATTTTCAGAAGGGACATGGGCATGGGTCTGTTGCAGGGGACAAGAGGACACATCTGTGGCCAAAATCCCAAACTCCCCAAATTTCTGGAGATGGTGTTTGGTAAGCAGAGAGGATGCTTATCCCACTAGCTAACCACATTCTTGATGCTCTAGCAGTGTCTGTGAGAGATATTTCAGACTATGTATGCATGTACATAGATGTATGTGGTGTATCTCTATAGATAAGGAGATATCCTGTGTGTAGTTGGTGTGGACATTGCAGCCTTTTAGGACCTGTGGGACCTTCTTGTGTTCAGTACACATAATGTATGTGGTTACACTGGGCCACTTCTAGGGTTGAGTTCACAGCAGCAAGCGAGGTGGAAGGCTCCTCCTCAGCCTCTTACCTGCTTTCTCAACTTCCTTCCCCAGTGCTACAAGAGCTCCAAAGACCACAGCCCTCAGCTCGATGTGAATTTGCTGGGCTGCACTGTGATTCACAAGGAAAAGCAAGTGAAGAAGAAGGAGCACAAGCTGAAGATCATCCCTATGAATGCCGATGTCATCGTGCTGGGGCTGCAGAGTAAAGACCAGGCAGAGCAGTGGCTCAGGGTCAGTGGCCCCTTCAGGACTTGCTTGGCTGCTGCTCCCATGCTTCTGCCCTGGCTTTGCTGGGAGACCATATCTTGTCCCATCTTTGTGTGCCCTGGCTCCCTTCCTCACTGCAAGCCCATATACAAACACATCATTTCATTTGCATGTCCTGGGACAGCTGCTCCCTGCTGCTTTCTGCACATGTGAGGCCATGGAGGGACCTCCTACCCCTGCTGCTGCGGCACAAGGGATGTCTGGGGTGCTGGGGTGGGTGCCCAACATGAAGTGGCTGAAGATGAGGGGAGATGTGGTCCTTTCCCTGAGATGGCAGCAGAAGAAGGAGCCTTCCTGAAGTTTGGGCAGCAGCAGAGCTGCAAGGTGCCGGTCCCCTGTTGACTCTGATCCAGCAGTTTCTGCTGGCTGCCTTCTGCAACACCAGGGGAGTCCCCAGGGTTGCAGGAAGCATAAACCATGGGTCTCCCAGGCTGCTGTGGTTTTGCCTGTCCTGGGTGGGAGGAGAAGTACTGATCCCATTACTGCAGCTCTCTCATGGCTGATGGCTTCCCCTTCTGCACAGGTAATCCAGGAGACCAGCGGTCTACTGTGTGAAGGAGGCACTGAAGGCAACCAGTACATCCCAGATTCACAGCGTCTCAGCTACCCAAAGGTACACCTATCTATTAAGAGAACTAGAACTTAGGCCTTTCCACCCTGATCCCTTAATAAGTAGTAGTTGTAGATGCAGTAATTTTACCTGAGAAGAGATATGAGCATAACCAGACCCGTCCTGCTGA